TAGATTTCATACCAGTTTCGCAATCAAACTGAACTTTCAGTTGTTCTCTTGAAGAAAGTAGTCACGTTGGAAGTGCTTCACTTAAAGCCATAAACCTAAAAGCTAGTGCTAAGATGAGCAAGGTATGATGGCTGCAAAATGCCAACAGAGATGGGCTGCGTGTGGAAAAAAGTGGAAATAATCCAACCACCTACCCTGTGGTCAAGAATTTTATACATAGTATAAATACTTATATATACAGGTATATCATTATTGACGCGGATCCGCGTGTAAAAGTTTCAGTGTTTGCACTTGCTATGATTAGGTAAAAACAAGCTTGTTCATTACTCCACTTGATGCAAGTATTAGCCCCATGTTCGGTCACCGCAACTACATCACTTATCTCCAACAAAGTACTATTGTCAAGCAGTATATCTTGTTTATGAGCCAAAGCCTAACTAGCCGTTGCGTGCTTCGTAAATTTTCCGGCAAAGTCGATTATGGTCAGAGGAAATATCGGAGTATGATATAAAAACAGTCGCAATTCAGCCAATTTGGTTGGTAGATTTGTGGGTCTAGCCTGAATTACGCCAAACTCCTGTAACGTAAAGTGGCATAAAAAGGTGAAACAGTTGGGGAACATATTGAAACTTGATTCCTTAGATTTACACACAGCTTTTCCCTGTCCCTTTGCCAAATACTAGAACACATCCATGCAATTACAGGTACTCGTTTGTCTGTATACGCGCGTCCATTTGCCCGGTTGTGATCGTACCGGACTCACGGAAGAGGAAAACTAGCAAACAAGATGTAAATGAACCGGTATGTAGTTGGCCAGGTCACAAATTTATTAACCATGTCCATCAATGCGAGTCGCGTGACTCGGTTTTTGAGGATGATAGGTGGATCTTTTCTGGCACCCAAAAACCGATTCACAAATTGTTTTTATTCGTCATTCTCTTTGTCACGATTGATGAGAGAAGCATGTCCTCCGGTGTACTAGACATCTTTCACTTTGCGAATCGTACAGGTTCGAATAAATGTACAGGGGACATTTTCAGTCGCTTCACAACCAGCTGGTGTTCTTTAGAAATTGTAATTACGCAACATTTCAGGTAATACTGTTTTGCTCAGTTTGGCTCTATCCGGTTGCTGAGCAATGGAGATACATCAGATACATTCTTTGTAGAGGAACACATGCAGTGGGTTCTCATCAATGTGGAACGAATGGTAATTAGTAGTTGGGTGATAAAAAAGAATTCAGCTGATTCGAACAGATGTCATTTTTAATCAATTGCAAGACAAGTTTTGGTCAAAATAAGGCCACTTCGCAGTGCAAGTAGTTTACCTGCTGATGAAACATATCTAAAACAGTTGATCTTTATTCATACTGCATAAATAATCAATGCCAGTAGATAATACCACAACGAGTATTCATAATGAAGCGTGATACTCAAGACAGTCTGTGCAACAAGGGCACGTACGGAAAAAGAGTAATCTCAGGCATGAACAACGTGATTATCTGAATAAACGTTATTCAAGTGTGAAAGTTGATTTAGCATAACAATACTTTTTTACTGTACGGTAACTTGACGCATATTTCATCAATGCTTTCGGAGTTGACAAATGCAGTGTGTCCAATATGATCTTCCGGTAGGATTCGATTAACTCCCAATATGTCCAGAATATTTATGGTCCAAACGGGAACAAAATATGAGAATCTCTTGTGGCACGAACTGTAGGGACAGAGTGACAACGTTGTTTCCTCAAAACAGACCCAAGAATTCCGCATGATGAGTAAAATGGAAGGGTGTACAACAGTTTTTATTTTGACACATCAGTATGTGCCTTTCTTATGACTGTTCAAAAACGTCACAAAAGTCCGTTTCTCTTCGTGTAATGGAGTAACGCCTAGTCACCGATGGTCTATATACACAATTCCTAAATACCATTGAATTATAGTAACCAGGTGAATAGAAAACTCTCGAACGACAACGAACTTCAATGCCTGATATGAAAAGGAGTCAATGTATCATCATTTAACCTACTCCCCTCCTTATCTTCAATATAAATCCTCACTGTTTACCCTGTTTTTAAGTGCGTCTTCAAGATTCTAAACATCAATGCTTATTTTATCAAATCACATGGGGTATATTTTGGTAAGTTGTTATTGTGGCTTGATTAACCTGGTAAACTTTGACATTCATTGAAGTGAACAATTGATTGAAGGTAAATCCATCGATCAGGTGTTTGCTGCAATATTTCCCGTGGCAAATCTTGTAAACTCAGTGATTTTATTGTTGTTACAGGGTTTTTGCTTCTCCTACTTTCAAGCTTTATGCATAGGAGTGGGCATGCTCTGTTACATGATTGCCTGTGTGAACTCGACGCGAGTGAACAATACTGAAACTAATAATATTCATGCCGCAACATCTCTATTCACCGACAAAAAGCATGCTTTGCGAGGGAGACGACAACATGAGGGAATCGAGTTCTATTTACTGCGGCCATATTTTATTGGTACTGGGGATGTGTACCTCAATCTGACGTTATCCTTTGCTGCAATAGGCAGTTTGAATGCGCGATTATTTCTTCACCTTCGGTGAGATTTTGTTTCCAATGAATAACACGTTAATTGTTCAAATACCTAATTTCCTTAAACGAAAATCGTTAAGCGTGTAATCAGTAGCATGGTGTGCGAGACGTTTCTGTGGCGAAATACTATTTGTCAAATTTCAGACCAGTAAACCGATAAGAAACAGAAATTGATGATAGGTTGCTGAATTTGCGTTTATTGCTCTCTAATTCGTTGAATAGTTCAAATTCTTGGTCATATTTAATCAAAAATTTATGTTGAACCCGTCTCTCGTATTTCTCAATAGATCAAACCTTTATGACTTGAATACTATCGCACACCAACTTTTCGTCGTCAAAACTCGTTTTTTTCTGACAGTCCTAATTAAAGTTACGAAGGTATCTCGAATTCTGCTTACCGCGAAGGGTGATAATTTTGAGCACCAGAATAAAATCCGCATTGTCGTTGTGCCTGCAAATACATGCCTCGTTGAGCTTTTGTTTGGTTTTAAAGCAGCCGCGGTAGTTTTGCCTCATTACACGCTTCGACAGGATTGAAGCAAAAATCAAGGGTGTTATCAGGATTGTGCGAACTACCAAAGTGAGGTGATTGGTTAATCAGTAACTCTCTCCGGTCTCAAAATAACCTCACAGAAAATCGTCTGATCGCCGTCCTTTTAGAAATATGAAGATTAACTAACAAGTTGGAAATTTTCTGCAATAGTTTCTATCAATGAAAAACCAATGGAGATCGACAGAGGGCTAGCAGTGATCATTCAAAAACTAATGGTGACCCAATTAGAGAATATGTCATCGGCTTTTGTTCCACGCTATTAAACAAGGAAACATAACGATTGGTTGGGTAACCAGGTATTATTGTGCTAGATGAAGCCCATACAGGTTATACCATCCCGTGGCTCACTGAGACCATTTACAGGTTTATATAGGGACAAAAATGTACGTTTATCGTACTTTGAAGGACATTGGAAATCATATTTATTTTGGATTGTTTAAACTGCATTGTTGTGCAGACACATTGTTTCCTTCTAACTTAAAAGTTGCACAATATAACTCCTTGGATTGTTCTCGAAAAAACCACAACGAATAAGTGGGACGTTGTAGATTTGAAACATTCTTTATGCAGGCAAACAGAGGAGGCGGTTAAACCAACCTGTGCTAGAACACCTTGGTTATATCACAATTTGTTTGATGCGATCTGTAGTATTTTCTTTTACTGGAATTTGAAATTGTGAGCAAACATTTTTGTGCATGTCTGTGTTCCCTGCTTGCGTGCGATTGTGCGTGCGTATATTTGTTAGTGAGCACGTGTGCACTCCCATAGTAGTATTTCGTTCGCGGGCGCGTCTGTTACTCTGCCTATCCCCTTGACTGCGTCACCATATATACGAATTTTTCTGTTGTGAACCAATTGCAGCCAACAGCTATGCAGTTGGGCAACCGTTGCCTGGTTGGGCAATCAGTCCATTACACATGGCTGCGCCCGACAACCTATGCCTTCTGCTGATTGGACACGCCGTTTGTCCTGACCCATTTTGTGTGTGATCGAGTCATGCGCCTCATATATCACCTCGTGTAGCGTAAATTATTCTAATTCATTTTTCGGTCTCGCACTCAACCCGTGGAAGTAACCATTTCCTTTGTACTGCTCTCACACCGGTTCAGGGAAGAATGATGGAATATTTGGTCGTGCATAGCTGTTTTTCCAAATAAATCGACATCAAACTGTGATCTGTTTTGTGTACTTATAAGGCTGGAGAGCTCGTCTTCGGTGAATTGTTGAACATCATTACAGAGTTGTCGACCAGCAAACCTACTCGTGGTTTTTCGAGAGGTTTCAAACGCATGCGGACATTTGTGTGACAATTTATCTGCTCAAAAACAATGACCTAGCCCACTGGAGT